ATTAAAGAATTGATTTTGACTTTCTCAAATTCATTTTCTCTACAGAAAAGATATCTGTTTTAAGTATGCCACTTACAAACTCCATCTTTTTTAGTTTCAACAAATAAAATATGAAACAGAGATTGAAATGCAAAAGATAAAAATAAATCTGTATGACAGTTTTAAACACACCTTTTCGTGAAATAGTTTTCTAGTCTCTCCTCTTGTTGATGGAGTAGGATAGAATCCAGTAAATTGAGGTAAAGATTGTAGTATCAAAGAGCGTAATTCCGGAAACTCAAGTCGCTCAGTGTCGCTTCGGGTTTCCACAGGGACAATCTGCTTCAAAGAGTTACATCCAGAAACTTCAATTGTTTCAAGAACAATTAGAAGTCTAACCACAGAAATGAAGAAGATACTCTCTAGTTTACTACACTGATAAATCTTGACAATTTTCAATTTACCAAATGAGAATGCTGAAAGTTTACATGAGCATATTTCAAATAAGTTCTTGAGATCATAGAGATACAATGACTCCAATTTAGGAAAAGCCTCCTCAGGTTGCTTCCTGTCTGTTGGGTTGATGAGAGATTGAATGTCGAAATTGCTTACAATGGACAAATGTTTTAGACATGGAAATCCTTTCAAATTCAAACTATAAAACATATCTTCAAATCCATTTAGGTCTTCTAACAACAAATTCTCAACTCCGTCAAACAACATCTTGATACCCACTTGAGAATGAATGTCAAAGCTATCATTTAACTGTATTGCCAAAAATCTTGATGTTTCATACTTCTCTGTCATCTTGAAATCTATCTCTAAAGATGCCTTCAAATCTCCAATAATAATCTTGTAACTATATAACTTGTCAAAGAATAAGTTGTTTGGCAAATGATCAATATTTGGGATTTGCATTTCCAAAGTTGTCAACAGATTCAGATGCCTTAACTCAGAAAGACTAGCATGTTCACTTTGATCTGTTTGTTCTTCAATGTTCCATTGAATCAATGTGTTTCCAATATACAGCTCTTCTAAACTAATCAAACTGTTTATTACATTGGATGGAATTTTTTGAAGTTTGGAGCAATTACTGATGTCAAAAATTTGAAGCTTTGTTAACTCCTTCAATTCAGCAGGCAATTTATCAATATCAGATCTCGAAAAACTAAGAATTCTTAAGTTTTTCAACTCGCCTATATAGGCTAGTTTCTCACCTAGTGTGCATTCCTCCAAACAAAGCATTCTGAGCTTCGTAAGGTATCTAATTGTCCAAGGTAAGGGTGATAGATCAAAACCAGTTAATATCAACACTTTGAGTTCTTTCATTCCTTCGAAAAAGTTGTCTGGTAACTTCACACGTGGATAACCATTGTCAACATGGAAGAATCTAAGTTGGGGGCAATTCATCATTCTAGGAAACTCGCCAATGATATCACAATGTTGTAAGGAAATAGCAGCGTACCTTTTAAGTTGATCCTCATCAGGCCATTCATCTATTTTTCCCTTTGTCATTGTAAATACATGCTTCTCCTCAAATGCTATTGACAAAGCCCCACTGCGAACAATATCTTGCATGGTGAAATGATCATTTGAATAACTATCAGACAATAAACCAGACTCTTTTAGCTTTCCGACCAATGCATATACTCTATCTTTGGCTTCCTTTACTGAGTAGATTCCATGAAGAAAACCCAAACCAATGCAGGATCTCACCAAGTTCGTAATTAATGCATCATGACCCATACGAGCACAAAGTAAGAAATTATATTTGAGCTCCTCGTTTTCTAAAAGATCATAACTCAACTTTGTAGAAAATTCAGCCGCTCCTATTAACCTTTTCCCTTCAAGCTCTCGGTTAATATTCTCCCATACCGAGCGGCTCTGATTTTTTAATGCCCTTGCAGTTGTAACTATTGACATTGGCAGCCCATTACATTTCTCGGTAATTTGAGCTGCTAATATTTCCAAATAAGAATTTGTACCATCTATTCCAGCCTTTTTCTTGAACAACTTCTCTGCTTCCTTTTCCTTTAAGACTTCCACAGAGAAAATAGAGTTTTCCTTCCCTTCCATATGACTTTTTAACACTTGTTTACTCTCAGAGATCATCAAAACTTTGCACCCTGTGTAATGACTAAGAGTTTCTCCTGTTTTCATCTTATTGGAATCACTGGGGAGTTTTTTGGATTTCATCATATTGAGAGCACTAGGTTCTACTGTCATCATATTGTGAGCCACATGGGATTTTTCCATTTCAGTCATATTGTGAGCCCGGGGGGATTTCCTTTCATCACCATCGAATGGAATCCCCAGCATAGTGAAGTCAATTTCTGCCCAAAGATCATCCAGGATTATAAGGGTGCTTTCTTTCTCGTTCTTTAATCTCTCTTGTATTCGAGCAGCTCTTGCAATGTCACTTTCCTCATCCAATTTCATCCCCAGTATGTCAGCAATTTGGCCTTGGATTTTTCTTATGTCAGCATTCCTTGTTATGCTTGCCATGGTGACTACATCGAACATCTTAGCTTCCAAGGCTTCCTTAGCAACTCTTTTGACCAAACTGGTTTTGCCCACACCACTCAACCCATAAACTCCAATCATTCTAACATTCGGGTCTTCCAAAGCAGCCTTAATCTTGTTCACAGTTTCATCTCTTGAGGGAAAGCTTTCATAACCAACATTAGTAAAAAAGGCAACCATGGAGGGTGGACCAAGCCAATAAGAAACTGCATCATGCTTTGCTTTTTGCTCTAGTTCATTAACCTTCCTTGTAATATTAAATGCTTTTTTGCTAAGATGATACCTTATCCCGGGCTTAGGAAGGAAACCACTTGTAGAGAAGTCAAACACTGCATGTTTATTGCATTCGTCCCCATCAAAATCTTCATAATCAGAAATTATTTTCTCCACCCCTTCTATCCATTCTTTAACTACATCTGCAAATCTTCTTCCATATCGGTTTTCTTCCTCCTTAACTTTATGTTGAACTACATCTCTCGCCTTCTTGAGATTTTGAACACAAACTTTTAGTTCTGCAACTCTTGCCTCGTATTGCAATAACGGAATCAAAAAAATTTCCTTTATCCATGCCTTGGTCCGAGGTGACATCAGGAATTGAAAAACAAGTTGTAGAGGGTCCATCTCTCATCATTCACTTGACTTTATTGAGCTCTATATCAACCACATCTTCTGCACGCACGTAAACAAGATTGTAATATTAAATACGATGAATAAAAGAATAAATGTAAATTAATTAAATTAAATTAATAGATGAGGTGGGTTTATCATTTCAAATATTTTTATCGAAGACCTAAATTAATAAGAAACAAACAACTTTTATATATATATATATATATATATATATATATTGAAAGGGGAAAGTTATATTTACAAACTTTTTGTTTACAAACTACACTAAGTATGACCGGTCATACTTAGTGTAATTTGTAAAAAAAATTTGTAAACGGATCCTTCCTCGTATTGATATTGCCTGAGTTTTTGAAAAGTTTGTTCGAGATGCTGGACGTGGTTTGTCATATCAAATGACTTGACAATCATATCATCAATGTATACTTCCACATTTTTGCCCAGCTGATCCTCAAACACCCTATTCATCATCCTTTGATAAGTTGCCCCTGAGTTTTTAACCCCAAATGGCATCACATTGTAGCAGTAGTTGGCCTTTTCAGAAATAAAGGCGGTTTTTCTTGATCTCCTGGGTACATTGGAATCTGGTTGTAACCAGAATATGCATCCATGAAAGACAGTAATTGAAATCCAGTCGAGTTGTCTACCAGCTGATCTATGTTGGGCATAGGGTAGGAGTCTTTTGGGCAGACCTTGTTCAAGTTCGTATAATCAGTACAGACTCTCCACTTCCTGTTTGGTTTTTTTACCATCACCACGTTTGCCAGCCATGTTGTATATTGTATTTCCCGAATGAACCCCGCATCCAAACTCCTTCACATGTTCTTCCAGGACTTGTCTCCTTTCCGGTCCCAACTTCCTTTTCTTTTGAGAAACCGGTGTGGATCCGGGGTAAACTGCCAACTTGTGGCAGCAAAAGGCAGGGACTATCCCTGGGATCTCTGATGATCTCCAAGCAAATACATTCGTGTTGTTTTTGAGGAACCCGGCTAACTTTTGCTTGATCCGAGGATCTATAGTTTTACCAATTCGGGTAAACTGACCAGGTTCATTCCCCAATGCAAGATCTTCTAATTCTCCATCGGGTTCAGGTCTCGGGATTACTTCTTCTCTCATGTCTAGTTCAACCACGTTGACCAGCTTCCTTGAGTGTTGAGGAATTGTGTTCTTACCGAGCCCTGGGAGAATCCGGGGTGGACTCGAATGTCCGCCTTGATTTTCTTTGACGGTGTCAAAGTAGCAGCCCTGGGATTCCTTCTGATCGCCACAAACAGTAATTATTTCATTCTTATTGCTTACCATTTTTATCTTCTGGTGTTTTGTAGAAACCAGCATGTCCCACTGGTGTATGGTTGGTCTTCCCAGAATTATATTATATTCTGATGGGAAATCAGCCACTATGAATCTAACTCGTTCTGATTTGAACGCCTCTTTTGTTCCCAATGTCCACCTGAGATCGATGTAGCCTTTAGAAGGTGTATGTTCTCCATTAAAAGCTATCAGTGTTGTTTTGCAAGGTTTGAGGTCCTCCTCATCCAAGTTCCTCTTTTTGAAAGCGTCCTAGAGTATGATGTCGGCACTACTCCCTGCATCCACGAAAATCTTCTTAACCGGCAATTTACCAAGGTCCCAGCAATGACTAGTCCGTCTACATGTCCCGGCAACACACCATGCATGTCCTCTTTTGTAAAATACAAAAGGGGAGGGTTCGTCTTGGTCAGATCTTCCTTGAACTTAGGACGATCCCGAATGGAGAGTACCTCTTTCAAGTACTTTCTCCTGGCACTTACGGTGTCCCCTCCTCCCCCCAGGGCTCCACTAATTACATTACAGTCAAATTCCACTTCCGGGAACTCATCCCGGTTATAATCGTTTTTCTGATTCCTTTCCTCCTTGTTTTTCTTTTCAGGAGCCAGGCTTTTACTTCTATTTCTGTTTCCCGACTTTCTTTTGTTATTTTTGGAACCCTGGATTTTGATCACATATTGGCGTAACCTTCCATCTCGAACGAATTTCTCCATAGCATCTCAGAGATCCCAGCATTGGTCAGTGGTATGACCCGGTCCGTCATGAAATGCACAATATTTGGACTTGTCCAAACCTCCTCTGTCGAATATGGGCCGGGGTCTCTCCACCTTCTTCATTTCCGTCATCGCCGTTTCCCTCCAGATTTGAGAGCGTGGCGCATTCAGCGGTGTGTACTTTTCGTATCTTCCAACTCGATCCCGGCCATCCGGGATTCGGGTCCTAGACTCCTTTTTCTTGTTTTCAACCCGTTCCTTTCCTTTCGGGGCCGGGCTTCTCCTTCTTGGGCTAATTCTTTTGCCCTCGTCAGATTGCGCATTGGCAATTTCCATTTGCTCAAGTTCGAGGTATTTTTTCGAACGAGTTCAGAATTCTTCCAACGTTTTCACTGGGTCTTTATAGACCGACTTGGCTAGCCTGGATGTACCATCCAAACCAGCCACAATGAGATGTACGTGGACATTTTCTTGTAAACCCGGCACTTGCAATGCAGCGTCCTTGAACCGATTGAGGTATCTCTTGAGGGTTTCTCCGGGTTGTTGATGTATCTTTCCAAGTGAGAACTCGGACTTCTGGTGCTTCTTACTTGTTGCAAAGTTTAAGAGGAACTTTTCCCCAAATTACTCAAAAGACCCAATGGAGTTGGCAGGCAAGATAGAGAACCATGCCTGCGCAGCCCTAGTCAGGGTTATAGCAAATATCTGAGATATAAGAGGCTCGTCTATTCCTCGGATGTACATGTCCGTATCGAAAGCATCAATATGGACCTGCGGGTCCTGACTTCCATCATATTTCGGTAGTCGTGCTGAATCAAAGTCTTCTGGGAAGGGTGCATTCAAAATCTCCCCAGTAAAGGGGTTGTTGTTATACTGCCCCCTATTGTATTTTCTTCTGTAGGCACCCGATTCCACCCGTCCTCGAACTATCTGAGCATCTCGGCTAGGGCGGGTTCCGTCCTGGCGATTATGCCCATTTGCTTCTGTTGAAGCATTTTGAATTATGGGCTGCAGAGGAGCGTTTTGTCCTTCCAACACCTGGTTTTCCAGGTTCGGATTCATCGTGTTCACCGGATTAGGCCTTTCACGGTTTTCCACTTCTATAACCCGATTCTGATGAACCGAGTTTCGATTTCCTTCCCGGCCATTGACATCCTAGCCTTCGTTTCTTCCAGTTCACCCCATTAAGCGTTGTTCTAGGTCTCGCATTCCCCTGGCACTTTCCTCTCGTATTGTTCGGAAATCCTGTTGCCGCTGGAGGTTATTGCGATCTTCCAACTCTACCATTCGCTGCATAATTGAAGCGAATGCATTCTGAGCCAGCCGAGTATCTGGATCGGCTGACTGGGCAATACGTGCAGCAAGATCCCCGGGGTGCTGGGGAGGGTTGTTCCTCACTGGAGCCATGACTGGATAAGGACCTCTATCACGACGCGCTGGAGTGGAAGCGGTGTCGGAGACATCTTCGCTGACATGGACGTGATCATAATCCACGTCGTTCCCTAGCTGGTTCTGAGGCTGATTTACCTCTTCCAAGACTGGATCCAGCGGTTGATTCTGATTTTGGGGTAACTGCTGGCTACTGCTCCTTGTTTGGATTGCCATCCTTCGTCGGATTGGTGGAAACTTCAAATTCAAAGAAAAATTTTCCCACAGACGGCGCCAATGTTCTGTCCTTGGGACAAAGATGTCCAGCCCAATAGGCTGGTATGTTACTTTTGGATCTAATGCCCTCTCCAAGGTATCTATGAAGGAGATACCCTTGAGTCAAGCAGATCACTGTGCACAGAATACTATAACGGCGTTAGCCAATGGAGTGTGTGTGTGCGCACAGTGACAGCATAACAGTAAGAGAGAGAGCGTAACATACTTTTAGGGTTTACCTTGTATTTATAGAGGTTACCTGTGGGTAGCGTGGATGGGCCTTTGGTGCCTCTGGTGAGGGCTCAGGCCTGCTTGCTATGTTGTCGTATTAGGATTAGAATCGTTGATGGAGATCTATCCATGATTAGTATTGATTCATATCTTGGATTGCCCCTTGTTGGGCTTATCACTTGACGGGCCCCTTATATGGGTCCATAACAGTCTGCTATGCACTTATACTAACATAGTATACCTTGTCAAGGTATTTCATCAATGGCCTTTAAAAAGATTTGAAATAAATATAAAACATAAGTATTCTCTCTCATTTTTTTAATGTTACAAGGTAAATCACATTATTTATTTATTGATATAATTTTTTAAGATATCATGATTTTAAAAAATAATAATATCCTTTTTAAAAGATTTAAACGGTATAGATGAAAAAAAAATCGAATTTAGACCTTTTTTTCTATAAAAATATCCTTCAGACAAAAGAAAATGCAAGCTTTAATAAAAATAATTTTAAAAAAAATAACTGACACAAAGAACTTTTCTGCAAAACTTTTTTAAAAAATAATTTTGTTAAATTCTTCTTTTATTTTTACAATTAAAAAAATCGAGTAAAATTCAATAGAATAAAATTAGGATACGAGAAGTGAAGTTATGAGGAGTTTGGGTTGGGAAAAAAATCAAATATTTTCAGCGCTACAAGGAACTGTGAAGTACATTTTTTATTAAATATGACAAAATGTAATATATTTATATTATTTCTATATTTATGATTATTCTATTTAAATCCTATTTTTTTCTGTGTGTATAAGGGAGTACATCTTCGGATAACACTCAAAATTTGATCCAAATATAGAGCTTTGAAAGGGAAAAGGGGAATTCAACTAGGAGATATTTCCACCAAATATATTTTTGAGAAGAGAAACCGGTGGATGTAACTCGGTTGGCAAAGATTCCCACCAAAAACAATTTTAGAGACGGAAGAAGTTTTAATTGTGATTAAGCCTCGATTCAGGATTAATCCTATAGCCAGAATAAAGAATTGAATCTTGAAGGGATATCGAGAAACAAGTCACCTCAACAAGATAATATATATATATA